CGTTAGATGAAACGGGAGTGTCACATTGAAGATAACATGATAATTGTTACGTTGATATTTTTTATTCTCTTAAACAAAACATTAGAACTGCGACAAAAAGATCCTTCCGGATATCTCAGCAGAACGAGAGATGGGCTGTGAATCGGCAAACCGTACTCATGGTGAGCTATTGTAACTCCCCACCTTCCGTCTTCGTGCGTCGTCAATATTACTTTAAAAAACGTCTCCTCTGAAGCAAAGACTGCACGGTTCAAATGTTGTCCATAATTTCAAAATTCGCCCCGGCGGTTATATGTTTTCCTGTCATGTATGAAGAAAAACACTTTTATAAATATTCTTCTCTGAATTGACAAAGGTTAACATTAAATTATTTGGCATGAAACATTGTGTTGACGACCCCAACTAAGACTGGTTTGAATTAAAGCCCTTAGATCAAATGGTGGGAATCATTGATTTTCATTATGTACATAAAGAAAACACTTACAGAAATATTCTTGTCTGAAGGAACAAGGCTTAGAACTTTGACATTTGAAATATAATATCGTGTATAGGTCCGCAACTAAAAATATTTTCAAAATGTTCCTCTTGTGTCGAAATTGGCCCTGTCTCGGGGGGGGGGGGGGTCATAAACTTTCCTTATATTTATAATGTAAAAAGTTAAGAAATCTTCATGTCTGAAGGAACAAAACTTAGAGCTGTGATATTTAATCTATAAATCTGCTAAAGTAGTTCAAATTTTGCTTCTAGTAACAAAATTTGCCCAACAAGGCGGTAATAGGTCATATGGTTAAAATTGAGAATGTCTTCTCTGCATTGTCAAAGGCTAGAGGTAAGATATTTTATTAAGAAGACATCTACCAAGTTTGTTCAAATTAAAGCCCGGCGGTCAGAAATTGCCTACTTGGGGTCAAGGATTTTCCTAAAATGTTTAAAGTAAATACTTTAAAAAAATGTTTGAAGGTACAGGACTTAGAGCTTTAAGAATTGATATGTAATATCATCTGTAGTTCCCCTACCAAAGTTGTTCAAATTGTGTTTCTAGTACTGAACTTTTGCCCCACCCGGATGATCATAGGTTTTTGTTTTTGTGTATATAGTTAACTTAAGATATCTTCTATGAATTGTCAAAGGCTAGAGGTTAGATATTTGGCCCGAAACATTGCGTAGTAGACCTCTACTACGATTGTTCAAATTTTGCCTCTTGTGTCAAAGTTTATCCCACCCGGTCCTACGGTCAAAATTGGCCCTGCCCAGGGAAAACCTTGATAGCAGAAGACCTAGAATTTCATGGTGTGAGCTACTTTCTTGTCCTTTGATGTACTGCTATAAAATTTGGAACTTATGCACATTTTTATATGTAAATTAAATTTTGATATCAGCTGAACTATACTTCGAAAAGTGACCTACTTTCTTGTCGTTTGTTGAAAGGTTGACCATGTTCACATTTGGGACCATTTATATAGTATAATTAGAAAAATAGTTTACATGAAGAACGGTCAATTGACTCACATCGTTCAAATTCTTGAAATAAACACTTCATATCACTGCATTCTCTCATTAATAACAGTCCGAACATTGAAAAGGCAAATTAAAACGACTACACATTCAAATGGCTATTGAGTGCCTGAGCAATAAAACGATTAAACGTGTATCTAAACGACGTTTACCTTTATCAAGTTGCTTTTGTTTACATACATGAACTATTTAGATATGGAAAGAGATAGTGTGGCCATTTTTTTCCATTCATAATTGTATAAATTATGAATATTTATATTTGTCTATATAATTTCCTTTAAATTACGAAATTGCCCCTTACATGTTCATTTTCGGTACAATAAAAATGTAATAATATTTACAAGATAAGTTTACCAAAATTCTTTCTAGCGCAACACTAAACTTATTAATATGGTTATAAACTGGAGTCCAGGTATAGAAGCTGTGAAAAAAAGATTAACAAATATCTACAATATTTACATAAATAAATACATCTATATATAGAAATAAAACTTTGCCCCGCGTGGGCGCGGAGCGAGATTTAAGAAATAAAACGGCAGGGGCGCGGAGCGAAAACACACTTATTAACGCCCCCGCTAATTAGCGTGTTTTCGCTCCGCGCCCCCGCCATTTAACTTGTTAATTATCGACTTTTCGCTTTGCAATTTATTTTGCAATTTTGCTTCTTTTCTTCTAGTACTGTGTTTACATCTAAACTCAAAGTCAAATTTCCTGATATCAAAATAGCCCCGTCCATGAAACAAAATGGCGCGCTCTATATCCATATGCATTCTGAATGCTTTGGCTTTTTAGATGAATTTTAATATCGTCGTGTCTCAGTGACTTTCTCTTGCAATTTTATTGTGATGAATGCTTACGAGGGATCACTTCGTTTCCAGACTTTTATACTTCACAACAGAAGGTGTCAAGTGCTCTGTGGCAGCTGTAACACGTTGCCCCATACTTCACTTCAGTGTTGTTATATTTTTTCTGGTCCTTCATTGATGCCAGCACTATTGAGTGTTGAGAATTGAGTACCGCTCAAGCCGGTGCTAGGGGTGTGAGGGATGTTGCACATATTCATAATCCCTCATGTACAGAATAAATCAAACCGTGTATGCAACTTTCTTGCAATTTTGTTGTGATTAATGCTTCCGAGGGATCATTTCGTTTCCAGGTTTTTCATCAAACATAGTTCTTCCTTCTGGTGAGAAGGAAGAATGACATAACACGAAAAATCATTACCTAGTTTAACAAGGTGTTTTAAAGTGAAACGCATTCTAAATGACATTTATAATACGTCTTTTATATAAGTCTTTATTATCAATATGTAAACATTTTCAACACATGCATCGCAAGCATAATAAACATTAACAGCGTGATCCAGTTGGTCATTAAATTTGACCCTGTTGATCATCTCTTTGATCTTTCAATCCTCAATTTTTAATCTTACCAACATTTTAAAATATTGGATTAAAAAAAAAACGTTTATAACTTGTCATTCCTTACTTAAATTATGATCAAAATTGGGTTATTTTATAAGACAGCTAAATTTATGTTATATGTTGGTTTTAAGTAGAACAACACAAAGATTCAAGCACTCTCAAACGCTTTAATTGTTTTATCTAAATCGGCCTAGAATGGCTACGGACTGACAACACGAGAAAGATATGAAAGAATATTTATAACTGTCAAAGAAAAGAGTTTTAGCCATGAAAATTGAAACTTTAAATAGCGAGCATCGTTTTCTACCATAAGAAATGTTATCAGTAGATAATGATATCATTCAGGAACTGGTACAATGCACTATTAAGGTTCTTTAAACTGTTACAGCTAGCTATAATTGTTTTTTTTTTAAATATTGGCTCATTTTTCAGTTTAAAATGCCCATTTTTTCATATATCCTTTATTCTTTGCAGCGTAGTTCAATATTATTTTGAATGAGATGCATGATTTACTGTGGCATGACACAATTTATCTAAAGTGTCGTTAACGGAAATACAAATTCATAAAACAGGCATTCATAAAAGTATCATATTATTTGGCGCTTCCCAATGTATGCATTGACCATGTTAAGTTATCTTGCATAATAAAGCACACACATTTTTTTTTTGGATATTGCATCATAAATACCATCATAACAGTTATGTTTCCCTCTCGAAACATAAGTCTAAGTCTAATCTAAGTCTGCTAATCTTCAGACAAGACTTTTTTCATAACATACTCGTTAATTTTCTGCTTCCGTTGTTTCTAACGGCGATTTCCGTAGCTTGAATTAAAAATGTAATAGCGCACGTTGCGATGTTTTAATTTTTAGTTGTTATTTGTTTCATTGGACAATTATCAACGTAAAAGTTCAAGTACGACATTTATTTGTTTACAGCCGCTAACAATTTAAAATGACGCTACTGCAAGAAATTTCTAATAAACATATTAATAGCAGCAAAAATAATCTTAAGCATGTGGAGAAAATCTTGATTTTGAAAATCAAAATAAGCTTTCTGCGGTTTACCTACATATGGATTATCAAGTGCTATCAAAGTTGAATTTATATATAACTGAACTCATACTTAATTAAAAAGTCCGATAAAGTTTTTATGGCTTACACTGCTGATGTTGGAAGCACTTATGCCAAGCAAAATATCAAAACATGTAATAACTTGGCAATTTACCTTTGTTATGTATTTAAAGTAAGTTTTCAACTATATATGTACATGTATATTGCTTCAAGTAAGATAACCTCAAAAATTATATGCATAGTACATACAACGGTCATGTCATCTTAGTAAATTAAATACATTTAATGATATTCTCCGTTTAACGGTTATATAATGAAATGGTGCAATGTAAATAAATTTATTTTTCCTTTTGATATACATGTACATGTATGAGGATTTATCATGTCATTTTTGTTATACATAAATTCTGTTAGAAAAGGTCTTTAATCTTGATATACAAACTGTACTTGGCAAAAGATCTTCTCAGCTAAATTATTGTTTGAAAACGCTACTGTGTCACACTTCACACCGCAATATATTTCAAATGTATTACTATAAATTGTATGTATAAAATGGTATGTTGCATGAAATACACGTTATTTTTGCATTATACTGTAGTTCAAGCGTAAGCCCAACATATTACATGTTTAATTATCAAAAAAGGGCCGCCTGCTTTATGGTTTGTAATGCTATACTTTGCTTTGCAGTGCTATGTTTTGCTATGCTATGCTATGCTATGCTATAATAATTTATGCTATGTTTTGGATTGTTTTGCTATGTTGTGCTACGCCGTGAAAAAGACTTATCTCAAACTTGATTGTCCCCTGGTTAGATTTCAACCAAATGATAACCAAAGATGAAAAATAGATAGAAACAAAATGATAGGAAATATGAGACTTTATTTTTTCTAAGCATATTTAACAAACATAAAAGTAAATAGTTAGATATTTCAGTTTAAATTTGAATAAACTGGCATGCATAAAATGTCGACCATATCACATTATTAGGATATTATTACTTTCATTCAGACTGACCTGTTTCGAAAATGCTATAATGCAAAGTGACGAACTGGATAAAGATCTGTTTAAGAATTGGGTGCGAGGCTCAAAAGGACTAGAATACTTACAGGAAGGTCTTCAAGAATTTGTTGGAGAAAAAGTACTGCAATGTCGTGATAATACCCTTCAAAAGATAATATTAACATTGCCATCTGGATCACCACAACAGTGCAACCAGTGTACAGGAAATAATCTTTCTCCTGAACATTTCAACTCTACAAAGGCATGTAACAGATGGACATGTAGCCAAAAGACCTCAAACAACTGTTTTGGAAGCAGACCAGTCGGACGTAGGAAATGTCCTGATGGCATTTGTAGTAAATTCTACGATGCAATTATAGATGAGCATGCATTTAAAGACCCTTTATGGAAGAACACATACCCAAGTACGTGGTGTTCGGATCCTGATGGGTGGAGCTATGCAAAATGTTTCCAAAACACTAAAGGTCCAGGGACATCAGCTAAAGATACAGATGCTGCTGGTCTGCTGAGCATTATTATAAACAACACGTCAATACAAAACTTTGTGACCAGAATTAACCCCCATACCAGGAGTTCGTTTCATACGGTAAGTGCAGGAAACGGTTGATGATTTATAAATGATTTTATAGTCATCAATATTCTTAATTAATTACTGAATAGATCTAGATTTACTGGTAAAAAATATAATTTTGCCATTTTATTTTTAAGATAACCTTAATCGAAATGTAAACGTTTAAATATGACCTCGAACTGCAGACTTTCCTAAGTAAGGATTAAACTTATCAAAATCATTAAAACCAAGTATTCCTTAACCTTGAACAGAAAAAAATATGTTCTTTATGATTATACATATTATAAGAATAAAAAGTAAAGAGAAGTGGGAATTATGTGTTATGATTCCCTCTTCTTCACAAATGTATGTATTATAAAACTTATTTCAGGCGCGAGACATCCGAAATGAAATCTTACATAGCTCAAAGCTTGAAATCGACGAAACAACTGTGTGTTCCTATTTGGACGCGTTCATTGTTGTTCTTCAAGATCCAAAGTGTCTGATTAATGACGAGGCGTCAAAGAATGCAGTTCATAAACTAACACAGGTAATCACTTATATATTACAATATGAATCTGACTTATTTAATGTAATATATGAGTATCTGCTTTGATTTCAAGACAAGTGCTTATTGACCTTTTTAAGGGTTGACATCCGACTATCTTTAAGCTAATATTGTATATTAATTTTTAAATGAGGACTGAATTGTAAAAGATAAGTGAAACATTATATAAATTAAATTAAGTTTATATCAATAAATTTTTTACTTTTTTATACTCGATACTCGGTGTTGCATGTAAATCTGTCTCAATATGATTTAACATTGTAAAACAAACTTGTTAATGAAAGAACAAAAAAGCAATTTATAAAGAAATCATAATAATGGGTAAAGGTCACTGTTGCTAAAAATAGAAAAACAAAGAAAAAAAGGTCTCAAGCTGATAACAATAGTTAGGACTGAGACATCATTATTAAACAAAAAAACATAGCTTTTTATTAAGAATGCGACTAGTAAATGAATGCTATTGGGCTCCGTGTGGTCATGGTAAATGGCACTGTTTCTAAAAACATATATCTTTTAAAGATATATTGTAATAAAAATCTAATTGTATAGCTAGCAGTTTGTGTATTTATGATTTACTATGCGCTATAGAAGTTGAATTGTATGGGGAAGCATATAGTTTTGTAACATTCATCCTTCCGTCCGCCCCGCTGTCCGAACATTTTCCGGTCAATAACGTTGTCATTTATGGATGGTATTAAAATAATTTTGTATAAATGTGTAGCATATCGGAACAATGTGTCATGTATAACATATGGATCCGAAACATAAAGGTCAATGTCACACCCTAATTTCAAAGGAAATATTACATAAAAGGAATTAAATTTCGTTTTGTTTCAACATAATTATCATTGATGGATATATTTAAAAGTATTATGCAATTGTGTTGGATATGTTGGACATTGTAATGACGATTTGTCGCGCGCAAGAATTTGGTCCTTAGGTTAAAGATCAAAAGTCATGATATGAATTTATGTAAAAGTAAACTTATTATGTTAAGTTTTATTCCATTCCCTTCAGTAGTGAGCGTGATACCAGCTTACACGCACAGACGCTTGTGGGTCAGACCCTGCTCCCAAACGAGATACGCCCCTGTAAACACTCTATCAAAACTATTTTAATATTTAAACACGAATGTGACATCTATTTAATTACAACGATAAAAATGGTTTTCAAACAATTTTTACATACATGAAAAAATACCGTATACCATCAAATCTCAATACCATCATAACAGCTCACAGCGTGCGGATACCACAGTAACCTTTGTTTGTTTTCAAAACTGTAAACAACAACATCACCTACGCAACTATTACAACTACTAAGACCACCATCATGAATGCTCTCAGCGTGCTGATACCACAGTAACCTTTGTTTGTTTTCAAAACTGTTAACAACAACATCACTTATGTCATCAACACAACCACTAAGACAACTCATCATCACTGCTCACAGCGTTCAGATAACACAGTAACCTTTGTTTGTTTTTGAAAACTGTAAACAACATCATCACGTGCGTCACCAACAAAACCAATAAGACCACCATCATCACTGCTCACAACATGCTAATATCACAGTAACCTTTGTTTGTTTTCAAAACTGTAAACAACAACATCACGTGCGCTACCAACATAACCACTAAGACCACCATCATCACTGCTCACAGCGTGCTGATACCACAGTACTCTTTGTTTGTTTTTCAAAACTGTAAACAACAACATCACATACGCCACCAACACAGCCACTAAGACCACCATTATCACTGCTCACAACATGCTAATATCACAGTAACCTTTGTTTGTTTTCAAAACTGTAAACAACAACATCACCTGCACCACCAACACAACCACTAATACCACCATCATCACTGCTCATAGCGTGCGGATACCAGAGTAACCTTTGATTGTTTTCAAAACTGTAAACAACAACATAACCTACGCCATCATTACAACCACTAAGACCACCATCATCACTGCTCTCAGCGTGCAGATATCACAGTAACCTTTGTTTGTTTTTCAAAACTGTAAACAACAACATCACATACGCCACCATCACAACCACTAAGACCACCATCATCACTGCTCTAAGAGTGCAGATACCACAGTAACCTTTGTTTGTTTTCAAAACTTTAAACAACAACATCACCTACGCCACCATTACAACCACTAAGACCACCATCATCACTGCTTACAGCGTGCAGATACCACAGTAACCTTTGTTTGTTTTCAAAACTGTAAACAACAACATCACATACGCCACCAACACAACCACTAAGACCACTCATCATCACTGCTTACAGCGTGCTGATACCACAGTAACCTTTGTTTGTTTTCAAAACTGTAAACAACAACATCACATACGCCACCAACACAACCACTAAGACCACCATCATCACTGCTTACAGCGTCCTGATACCACAGTTACCTTTGTTTGTTTTCATAAAATTAAACTACAACATCACCTACGCCACCACCACAACCACTAAGACCACCATCATCACTGCTCGAAGCGTGCAGATACCACAGTTACCTTTGTTTACTTTCAAAAATTTTAACAACAACATCACCTACGCCACAAACACAACCACTAAGACCACCATCATCTCTGCTCTCAGCGTGCTAATATCACAGTAACCTTTGTTTGTTTTCAAAACTGTAAACAACAACATCACGTGCGCCACCAACACAACCCCTAAGACCACCATCATCAATGCTCACAGCGTGCTGATACCACAGTAACCTTTGATTGTTTTAAAAACTGTAAACAACATCATCACCTACGCCATCATTACAACCACTAAGACCACCATCATCACTGCTCTCAGCGTGCAGATATCACAGTAACCATTGTTTGTTTTTGAAAACTGTAAACAACAACATCACATACGCCACCAACACAACAACTAAGACCACCATCATCACTGCTCTAAGAGTGCAGATACCACAGTGACCATTGTTTGTTTTCAAAACTGTAAACAACAACATCACGTGCGCCACCAACACAATCACTAAGACCACCATCATCACTGCTCGAAGCGTGCAGATACCACAGTTACCTTGGTTTACTTTCAAAAATTTTAACAACAACATCACATACGCCACCAACACAACCAGTAAGACCACCATCATCACTGCTCTCAGCATGCTGATACCACTGTAAACTTTGTTTGTTTTCAAAACTGTAAACAACAACATCACCTGCGCCACAAACACAACCAATAAGACCACCATCATCACTGCTCTGAGCATGCTGATACCACAGTAAACTTTGTTTGTTTTCAAAACTGTAAACAACATCATCACCTACGCCACCATTACAACAACTAAGACCAGCATTACCACTGCTCTCAGCGTGCTGATACCACAGTTACATTTGTTTGTTTTCAAAACTGTAAACAACAACATCACCTACGCCACATACACAACCACTAAGACCACTCATCATCACTGCTTACAGCGTGTGCTGATACCACAGTAAACTTTGTTTGTTTTCAAAACTGTAAACAACATCATCACCTACGCCACCTTTACAACAACTAAGACCAGCATTACCACTGCCCTCAGCGTGCTGATACCACAGTTACATTTGTTTGTTTTCAAAACTGTTACCAACAATATCACATACGACTAACACAACTACTAAGACCACCATCATCACTGCTCACAGCGTGCTGATACCACAGTTACCTTTGTTTGTTTTCAAAACTGTAAACATCATCACATACGCCACAAACACAACCACTAAGACCACCATTATCACTGTTAACAGCGTCCTGATACCACAGTTACCTCTGTTTGTTTTCAAAAATGTAAACAACAACATCACCTACGCGATCATTACAACCACTAAGACCACCATCATCACTGCTCTTAGCGTTCAGATACCACAGTTACCTTTGTTTGTTTTCAAAGATTTAAACAAAAACATCACCTTCGCCAACAACACAACCACTAAGACCACCATCATCACTGCTCACAGCGTGCTGATACCACAGTAACCTTTGTTTGTTTTCAAAACTTTAAACAACAACATCACCTTCGCCACCAACACAACCACTAAGACCACCATCATCACTGCTTACAGCGTGCAGATACCACAGTACCCTTTGTTTGTTTTCAAAACTGTAAACAACAACATCACCTACGCCACCAACACAACCACTTAGACCACCATCATCATTGATCTCAGCATGCTGATACCACAGTAACCTTTTTTGTGTCGCCTTGAAAAGGTGACATATAGCGGTTACTTTTGTCGGCGGCGTCGGCGGCGTCTGTGTCGTTGTCGGCGTCGTCGTTGTCGGCGTCGGCGTCCCCTAAAGCTTGTCCGGAGCATAACTCAGTCACTATAAGTCTGATTGACTTCAAACTTGGTATTCATGCTTCTTTCAATAACCTGAAGTGCAGTGCACAAGGACCGGTACTCTGCAGTTCTTATTTTTAGAGTTATTGCCCTTTGTAAATTTTCATACTCTAATTTTGTCCGGGCCTTTTCTCCTCAAATATGAAAGCTATGGACTTGAGACTGCTGCTCTGCACTTATTATCCCCCGCCGAAAAGGCGGCGGGGGATATAGAAATAGTCTCCGTCCGTCCGACCGACCTTCCGTCCGTCCGTCCGTTCTTCCGTCCGACATTTTTGTCCGGAGCATATCTCTTAAAGTATTTGAGTAATCAACTTGAAACTTCATAGTTGGATAGACCTCATTGCGGGTAAGAGCAGTGCACAAGAATTATAACTCTACCCTGCATAATTTTTGAGTTATTGCCCTTTGTTATTTTTCGAAATTGATTTTTGTCCAGAGCATAACTCCAAAGGCCTATTGGTTATCAAGATGAAACTTCATAGGTTCATAGATCTCACTCAGAGGGTGTGCAATGCACAAGAATGATAACTCTATCTTTCATAATTTTTGAGTTATTGCCCTTTGTTATTTTTCATACTTAATATTTCACCTGAGTGGAGCATAACTCAAAAAGTGTTTGAGATATCAACATGAAATGTAATAGGTGGATAGATTTTATTGAGGAGGAATACTGTGCACACAAATGATAACTCTTCCCTTTACAAGTTTTGAATTATTGCCCTTTGTTCTTTTTCATGCTATTTTGTCCAGAGCTTATCTCTAAAAGTGTTTGAGGTATCAACTTGAAACTTCATAGGTGAATGGATCTCATTGGGGAGGAGTGTAGTGCACAAGAATGATAAATCTACTCTGCATAATTTTTGAGTTATTGCCCTTTGTTATTTTTCAAAATTAATTTTTGTCCAGAACATAACTCGAAAGGCCTTTGAGATATCAAAATGAAACTCCATAGGTGCATTGATCTAACTCAGGAGGTGTGCAGTGCACAAGAATGATAACACTACCTTTCATAATTTTAAAGTTATTGCCCTTTGTTATTTGTCATACCTAATTTTTCACCCGAGTGGAGCATAACTCAAAAGTGTTTGACATGTCAACATGAAATGTCATAGGTGGATAGATTTTATTGAGGAGGAATGCTGTGCACAAGAATGATAACTCTTCCCTGTACAATTTTTGAGTTATTGCCCTTTGTTCTTTTTCATACTATATTGTCCGGAGCTTATCTCAAAAAGTATTAGAGGTATCAACTTGAAACTTCATAGGTGGATGGATCTCATTGAGGAAGAGTGCAGTGCACAAGAAATATAACTCTACCCTGCATAATTGTTTAGTTATTGCCCTTTTTTAATATTTCAAAATTAATTTTTGTCCAGAGCATAACTCAAAAGGCCTTTGAGATATCATTATTAAACTTCATAGATCTAACGCAGGAGGTGTGCAGTGCACAAGAATGATAACTCTACCTTTTATATTTTTTGAGTTATTGCCCTTTGTTATTTTTCATACTTAATTTTTCAATTCAATTTTTTTGTCAAAAAGTATTGAGGTATCAACTTGAAACTTCATAGGTGGATAGATTTTACTGAGGAGGGATGCAGCACACAAGAATGATAACCTACCCTGCATTATTTTTCAGTAATTGCCCTTTGTATATTCAGCCATCAGTATTCACATAGGTTTCAAATCTGTAATCACTATAACCATCAGTTTTCATTACCAAAAGACCTCTTAAAATGGAATTATTCTGCTGTACTACATATACATTCTTCCAATGAGCAAACACATTCGGCGGGGGATGGCCATGTTGTCGTATATATGTTCTCTAGATAATAATATTATTCAAAATAGTTAAATTATATAGGGCACGAAGAATTATTACAAAACCTAATTAAGTTGTTATGAAAACTAATGAAAGTGCAATTGTCTTCAGTGATTAATTTTTATTGAAATATTCATTCATTTCTAAGTCGAAATCAGTTGTTTACTGATAAACTGTAAAACTAGACACAACAAACACAATGTTTTATAAGTAAAACGTTTATAGGTATATTACACTCATATAAATATTTTACATTACAGTTAAAAAACAACACAATACACATAAGCCAGGGTGACACAGTGACACTCCTTGAGAAAAGAAAAAAAGCTTTAACTGAACTTGACCAAAGAACAGCAGAGTCATTGCGTAAACTCGACGAGAAAGCATTGGCTGTACTACATAAATTAAAACAAGATGTTGGTGAATTGAAGGATGCCACTTTAGCTGATGTTGAAAACGCTGGAACATCGTTAAAGCAAACACTTTCTGAAGAGAGAAGGGATGCCATATCTGAAATAAACACAGCCGGGGAACAGGCAAAACAAGACATTGCTGGGAAGACGTCTCATGGTATATCTGAAATAAACACAGTCGGAGAACACGCAAAAAAAGACATTGCTGGGAAGACGTCTGATGGTATATCTGAAATTAACACAGCCGGAGAACATGTAAAACAAGACATTGCTGGGAAGACGTCTGACGGTATATCTGAAATAAACACAGTCGGAGAACACGCAAAAAAAGACATTGCTGGGAAGACGTCTGATGGTATATCTGAAATTAACACAGCCGGAGAACATGTAAAACAAGACATTGCTGGGAAACGTCTGATGGTATATCTGAAATAAACACAGTCGGGGAACAGGCAAAACAAGACATTGCAGGGAAGACGTCTGATGGTATATCTGAAATAAACACAGCCGGAGAACAGGCAAAACAAGACATTGCTGGGAAGAAATCTGATGGTATATCTGAAATAAACACAAGCCGGGGAACAGGCAAAACAAGACATTGCTGGGAAGACGTCTGATGGTATATCTGAAATAAACACAGCCGGGGAACATGTAAAACAATATATTGCCGTGGCAAAACACGATATTGATGGACGGAAAAGTGAGGCTGTCTCTGATATTTGTAATGCAAAAGAAGACGTTTTATCTGCCATCGCCAAGGCTAGTGCAGAAACTAAAGAAGATGTTTTAAGTGGGGCTTGTGGTGCTCGGTCTGATATGAGCGGCCGTTTTGTTTCCAAAGAATCCATTTTCCAAAAAGGTCTTCGGAAGCTCTCAGATGTGTTCACATCTTCAAGTTCAAAATCACGCAAGGTTCGTTTTCAACAATTCACATTAACTAATAAAACTTACTCAATCAAGTGCATTGTCTATGTGTTACAATATTGTCCAGTTACACTTTTAATTGTAGTCTTTATTTGTTTATTTGTATTGGTAAGGGTTAACGCCGCCCAAAACAGTAGAGGTCATATAGCGTTTCAGTTTTAGTGGCACAGAAAAACATCACATGCCCCTCTGTGCATTTATTTAGACACGACCGGGCACATAAGAACAAATGACGTTCGAATGTAGGAGTCGAAGCAAAACGGTTTGGGGCAACCCATTTGAAGTCAAATTTCATAACAACTTGGCCCCTGGCGCCCTTAATTGCTGTTGTAACATTATTAAGAAAAATATAGAAGCAAAATATCTATGGGCGATATATACTTTCTCATCTTATAATTAAAGCAAAAATGAACATATACGCGAAACTAAATGAACATATACTCGAAACTAGAAACAAAAGTCCTTCTGTCCCTTGTACAAAAAACTATTTTGCACTTTCTATATATTAATTTGTGTTTTGCTGTAAAATACTATTTAAACTATGTTACCCAAAAGCAAGACTCTTCTAAACACTGGCATCATTATTAATGTCACTTTTAAATTATTACAATGCGATGAAAAAAGTTTGATGTAGACATGATTTCATACAAAAATACTAATATGATTATATATACATAAATATATATAAATCTAAGTAAAGAAAGTGACTGCAGGGCTGGGCAATGTTGGTCTCAATGAATGATTTACTTTGAAAGGTCAACTACGCATTGGTATATGAAATATATCAAAACTCTGGACAGAAGAAAACTTTAATGTTTTTCCTTATATAAGTCAATATAATTAAATATCCCCCTTGGCGGGACCAACTGTGTTAAATAATACCAGTTATCTTGTCTATTGGTAATGTAGTTTACAAAAAGATGTGTTAAAGACTTTGCACTTAACAAATCTATGCAAACTTAATGGCCGCCAGTGCTGGGTCATTTTGGCCAAAACGACATGACAATTGTATAGATCAACTAAAGGCAATGCTAGAGAAAGTACATAGTTAAATGACCCCCTGAATAGAAACAAATTTTAATTCGAGGGGTATAATATTTTTAAAATGTGTAGAGGGTTTGAGGGTGATGATACATATCAAATATCTTATCTCAGGGATTTGTAGTTTCCCAGATGTTTATGACTTGTTTTATTTTTGCAACTCTATGCATACTTAATGCCTACCAGGACCGGATCATTGTTGACCCAAGGGGCGTGAATTATAAAACCGTTATAGAGGTCGACTAGGCAATGCTGCATGCCAACTACCTAAGCACTGGTCATTACAGTAACAAATGAAAAATGTGTTGCCCTTAAACAAGATCAAATAATCTAAGTGGCCTAGCGGCGTGCACAAATCAAGCTCTAGGGTACCCTGTATATGGAACAGTACTATAAAAAAAATCAAAATTGAAACTATTCATTAACAATTACAAAACACTAGTTGCCTTACATTTTTAAAGAAATAACGCTAAAATGTTTCATTAACAACAACCCTCATGAATATTATTAATGTATCTTTCATTGTTTTTACAGGAATTGCGAATCCGAAAAAGAAAAGTTAAAGGTAAATAAATTCATATTTTTTTATTTTCAATAATAACTTGAGTTTAAGTTTAAAATTCTTTCTTTATTTAAAAGTTACTATAGTGGTAAGGCCATCCTTAAACATGATTTTTTTTGTAGTGTTCCGACCCTAATTCCAAGAGTTATTTGAAATTGTAATTTATACTACAACTACGAGATGTTTTGTTTGGAAAAATAAAGATTTACTACCTGCTTTGATGACAACCTAAGATTTCATTAACTTGTCCTGACTTCAAAATGTCAAAAACTATTAAGTGCACAAAGAAGGGAGGAGTGTAGCAATTCCACTTCTCATTACTATCGATTAAAAGAATTATCCTGCAAATATTAATCTGGTTGGAATGTAAATATTTGAAATTAAATGACTAATGACTGAGTATTTCTTCTAGCTCTGATTATTTTTTATTCATTTATTTTGGGGTTGTGAGGTCTCCTTTTTTAAATAAAAGGGATACACTTGAAAATGTAGATGGTCTCGCCTACTACAAAATCATATTCTCCCAGTTAACTGCATTCACTAGCAAGTATAATATTAAAGCAGCATGCCCCTAGATGAGCGGAAATATTTCGATAAATTTACACTTTAGAAACATGTACTAAACATTTAGGAAAAGTTGATCTCGAAAGATTCAAGATTCGAGTAGTATTAATTAATAATTGTGTATAATAATTATTATCTTATAAACGGACAATTACAAGGAATGAAAATAAAGCAAAAATCAGCGTATGGTTTGTAAATTTTTGCCATTAATTTACAACTCAGGAAAAGGAAATAAAATTGATAATTATTATTCTTATAATGAAATGACAGGTGTAACTTATATAAAAGTAATGGCCGATAAATTTTCAGCAATTTTCCCGCGAAAAAATTCACTACTCAACAAATTTTAGTGAATCAAAGCCAAAATTATTTAAATTGATTTATGTAAATAGTAATGTTCTTCTGGTAATTTTTTGGGTATGTGTAAAAATATGTATATACACTATGCGGCCTAGTTCCAGACAGTGGTCCATTTTCACATCCATTGATGCATGTATATTATTTTGAAACAAAGTTGCTATCAAATTTTGCTTTTATACTAAACATAAATTAATCAGCTTCGTTTCAAAATTTATTCTGATTTAATATGTCCACTATAAAGACCAAAACTTTATATGTGTTAAACCTTCGTGAAGGTACAATTATGTGTACATATAAGCAGCGTTTAGTGGCTTGAATAGAATGATCGTGTACAGCTTCACACGGTGTGTAAGAGAATCATTGTTACGTATTGTTTACTTATTTATAAACGATTAAACAAAATATTGCATATTCGCCTAGACTGTAGGTATTGGACCACAAAATGTTATAAAAAATCTAGGCAAAAGAGAGCAATCGTCGGTCACAGAATCCTGCAAAATAACCTATTGCAAATGTTTGTGATACGTTTGAAAATAAGTGTACTTATTTCACTCAGTTAATCTGTTTTGTAACTTAAATGTTAATTACCTAAATGAAAATAATGCCGCACACGTTTTGCCTGTTTTGCAAAAAATATTTCCGTTGTGTCCGTAGCGCCAAAATCCGTTGCATATTTTAGTGATACCACTTGTTCAGAATATAGACGGGTCGCAAACGGGTTTTAAAACGATCGACTATAGACTGGCTTAATTGCACGTTATTTATAAGGTACATAAAATAAGATAATCATAAAAATACTATGATATTCAAACATGACGTTAAACGTTTATTTTTTAATCCTTTAAAGCTCTGTAACATGTTGTACATCAGAAAAGATATTTTTATTAGAAAATTTGAAAACAATTTGACTTTGTTAAAACAAAAAAAACGCACAAAATCAAGTCTAATATTTTCCCCATTGCTATACAGACAAATGCATATCTACTAGATTCTCCCCCTTTCGAAATAAGGGTTTCTTGTGAATGTGAAATCGCCGATGTTCGGGGTTAAAATTTTGTTAAATATCAATGATTAATTTTGGTTTGGGGATAAAATTCTTTTCTCTTCTACTTCACAGTTTGAAATCTATCTAAAAATTTGAAGGGAAAAGTTCTTTTGCATACAGATCGCAATAACAAAATCTCCTCGGTGGCCAAACAAAAATAAGAGTCTTGGCCATTTTCATGGGTCGGTTGGAGCACTACAAACAAACATATTTTCAGGATGGCCTTATGACCATCACGTACTATGGAGTGATTTAACTGATTTTATTGTAAGGAAATTTCTTTTGAGATTTAAAAGCAAACACAATTATTTGCACGTTGAACACGAGCCTGTGTAAAGAGTGACATGTGACTTTACAATGTACATAATCTAAAACCCTAGCTGAAACTGAGCGAGGTTTTTAACAACTTGAGTTCAAAAGGCAACGAGAAAAAGAAATATCTTTAAAAATGATTATCGGCCTAAATAACGATAAAGCATCATAGATTGAGCATATTTTCAAAACCAATATACTACTGAATTAATTTAATAGAATACTAACATAAAATAGTGAACTTCACAATTTTCAATATGATTTTATCCATAAATATCTGGCAACAAATTATTTTTTACATACATGTAAAATGTCAGTTTATCAATAAATATTCTCAGAATCACCTTTATGTTCTTTTTGTTCCACTGCCATTGAAAATATCGATAGTACAAACATTCCCAATCCCAATCATCTATTTTTTTTCAAATTATTCAGTTAAAAGGTGCCATTATTTGGGAACGTAAACGGCCCAAACTTTTTTAAATCAAAGAGTTCAGTTATGAACATATATATTAACTTTGCTATGTGTGTAACAGTATATAAACAAGATAATTTTGTAAGGTCAGTATGGGATGGTCCCCCAATATCATTTGGTCAGGGAGAATAAATGCGGTCACCCTAAATGCT